TCACACAGGGTACCCGGCGATCGCCTCTTGATGCCGTGTGCTAGCATAACGGAGATGCGGGCATACATACCCAGGGACGATTTCAACGCCTCCTAACAAATGCGTTCCTGTTGTGCAAGATAGCAGCCGGCGACCCCAGCTTCTACGGCAGCCGGTAGCAACAGCAGCATGCACCAGCAGCAACACTCGCATACGCGACAGCAAGGTCTTGCCGTTGCAGCAAGCAGTGACAGCAGATAGACTCCACAGCAGTGCCACCCCTCGCTGCACCTGCCTCCTCCGCCACCACCACACAGCCCCCCCAAAAAACAAAAATCCCTAGGCTGCGATTAAGTCACATGTGCATAGCACCAAAGGCCTGTCTACGACGGACCCCGCCCCCCCCATAACCTCCACACGGCTGCTCGCCGACAGTCGCCGCCGCTGGACAAAAGAAAGCAAGGGCTAGTTGCTGCTGCTGTGTGTGTGTGTTTCTCTCACCTGGGTGCCTAGGCTCCACCAGAACCACCCGAAATAGCTGGGGTGTCGGAGGAACCGGTACACTCCGCGTGTAACGAGCTGGTGCGATTCTTCTCTCTGTCGGCGCACAAAAAATCAAAGACAAGAGGTCCCCGCCATCGGGACAAACAATATGAGGTCCCCGCCATCGGGACGAACAAGATGGGGTCCCCGCCATCCGGCACGCACGCGCCGCACCCAAAGAAGCGGCACCAAAAGACGGCGTTGCGTACGTTACGAAAACCAAGCAGGGGGGGAGGGGAGAAGGGCAGAGGGAGAAGCTTTAACGAACGACTGGCGGAGGCAATACGCTAGCAGCAGAAGCCGACCGTCGTTGCTGGATACGGCCGTTCTCTTCGCGCGGGGAGGCAAACGAGACGGCTAGGTGGACCTAAGAAGCGGAAAAAGGCCGAACCTCTCACATGCTCACAAACAATATCACAGCGATTGTTGGTCATCCGACATCGCGAGCAAGGTCTTTGATAGCCTCTCTCCTCTCTCCTCACTGGCTCAGTGGACGTAAGCGGGAAAATACAGCCAGACTCTTCTCTCTCTCAAAAACCGCACGCAAAAAAATCAAAACCCTTGTTGGCCTCCCAACATCTCGAACGACGTCTAAATAGCCCCCCCTCCTTCCTCCTCTTCACTGCCTCAGCAGACCTACGGTAAGCGGAAAATCACAGCCAGAACCTCTCTCTCTCTCAAAAACCGCAAACAAAAAAATCAAAGCGGTTGTTGGGCCTCGAGCGAAGACAAAAGCAGCCTCTTCTCCCCTCACTCCTCCTCCTCCCCCTCCTCCCCCTCCTCACTCTTTGCATGATCTCGTGGTTGAAGTTCGAGCCCGCCGTCCACATGGCCCCCACGCGGAACCAATGCCCGATCAGGGCCAGCGCGACGCCGGCGGCGACGACGGCCGGTTGGCGCTTCAGCTCCGGCAACAGGAAGGCCTCTAGGCCGAACTCCGCCCAGCTCGCCAGCAGCGCCCCCGTGTACTCCTTGCTGTGGTTGAGTACGAAGGCTGCGTCGTGAAGAAATCCGCAAAACATTTTCGGTTGGTTGGGTTCGCGCGACCGGGGGGGGGGGCGGGGGGGGGGGGGGGGGACTTTTTTTTTTTGG